AGCTATGGTTTTTCTAGTAGCGATGTATGGAAGTGAGAGCTGGACCATAAAGAAGGCTGATCACCGAAGAACTGATGCTTTTGAATTGGGGATGCTGGACGAGATTCTTGAGAGTCCCCTGGACTGCAAAGAGATCAAACCTATATCCATTTTGAAGGAAATCAACTCTGAATGCTCACTGGAAGAACAGATCCTGAAGCTGAGGCTCGAATACTTTGGCCATCTCATAAGAGAAGACTCCCCGGAAAAGCCCCTGATGTTGGGAAAGTGTGAGGGCAAGAGGAGAAGGGGACGACAGAGGACGATATGCCTGGACAGGGTCATCGAAGCGACCAACATGAATTTGACCCAACTCCCGGAGGCAGTGGAAGACAAGAGGGCCTGGCATGCTCTGGTCCATGGAGTGATGAAGAGTCGGACATGACTTACTGTCTAAAGAACCACAAAGTTAACTGGTAAAAAATATTTCTCATGGCTTATTCCATTTTCGGGGCAGGGGGCAAGGACCTACACAAGCCAGCCAAGGCATACTTACAAAAAACCCTACAGATTTTCCTGGAGGTGCAGAGATTTCACCATCCATTGCTGTCAGACAGAAAAGTGTCTTGTCACAATCAGACAGGCTGGAAACTTTATTTCTTTGATTTTTTTTAAATGAAGCTAAGATGATACTCAGGATGGCCACTCCTGTGCTTAACGTCAACTTCCTGAGACACATGAAATTATACCTAATCATATTCTGTCATTAGTTGAGCACATTCAGGTATTACAGCTGCCAGAAGCAGCATGAGGCTATGGAGCAGGACCATGTAGAGGAGGCTAGCTTGGCCATTTCACAGACCAGGCAGCCCTCCCTCCAATATCTGCACATACAGTGGAAATGTTGTTGCCAGGAGTTTAGGAGATACAGTTCTGTACACAGAGACTTCCGTGTCATTTCCCCCCTTAACAGATCCACCTTAGAAATTGCCAAGTTAATACAGACTCTAATCTGCTCTCCTGGACATCCATCATCTGAGGCAATTCACACACTTTACAACTGATTACAAAGGAAAGCTTGGAGGGGGAAAGTTAATCAACAACTGCAAGTAGCCCATCTGATTAACATCATTATTACTCTAGCATTGTTATCTTACTATTGGTATTTTACCACTGTAATAATTTGCCATTGTAATCTTTAAAGCACTCGCTTCTACTAAAGACATTATAAAGACATTATAATCACAATGATTTAACACCCACTGACTCTCTTTCCAACCAACCACAACCTTGATGTCACGTATAAATATATGCCATGTTATATCTCCTTCTGTTATGTCTGGTGAAGTGGACTTGTCCACGAAAGCTCATGTTATAATATATAAAAGTTAGTCTTTAATGTGCCACCATGTTTTTGTCTTTTTTTATTCTTTATTTTTATTTTGTTTTCATCCATGTAACCTCCACAATTGAAGCCTTTGAACATGATGTTGCATCTGGAAAGGATCCCACCTGAAGACATTCACACTGTACAGGTAAATGCCAGAAATGGCTGCTTTGCATAAGTATGGCAAGACAGAGCTATCTAGCATAGTCCCACCTCTGTACCACTGTACACAGGAACAATGTCTTCATATCAGTGACCCCTATTTTGCACTGCAGTCCATGCTTAATGACACACAGGGATTGAATAAATGGCACATCTCAATTAACTTGCCACCTGAAGCTATTGCTTCCTATTGTTTCATGGTTCTGCCAGCCTTCTTTGGAATTATTAGCCGGAAAGCTAGATAACACAGAATTTGCTCTCATGAAGGACTCTGAATTTTTGTTCATAGCAGCTTGAGTACTTGACTTCTCCAGTGCATCACAAGAAGGTCACAGAATAAGTTCTCTGGAACCCTTTAATCTTCCACTGGCACCAACATGTGAAGCACTATGTGAAACGCACAGCACTTAACAGAGAGTTCTCTGCAATTAGTATCACCTACCTTTGGAGGGCAACAATTGCTGCCTGTTCATTCTCATTCTCTGCTTGTGTTATTCCAAGAAGCTGCCAGGCCTGCAACACAGAGAGTTACATATAGGATTATTGCACTGTTGCATATAGTTCCACATCCAGTCTTGCATGTTTGCCAAAAATGAACATGACAAAAGTTCCTTTCAGAAAAGGTGCAAAAACAAAAGCAAGATCAGAAAACTTAATGGATCAAGGCATATATATCCCTGGGCCCAGAGCCTATGGCCATCCTACTTGGGACATTCAAGTTGAAGAAAAGTAAAAATTTCCAAGCTCAGGTTGTATCTTAGGGCATGATCAGACAGCTGGTAAGACATGTGTCCAATTGCTCTGGAAAGGGTCACTCTGCAGGCCTTCTGTCTGCCAGCAAATCCTTCCAGCTCAGCCCCAAAACAGCCGGGCTAAAAAGGGACACATTAGAGTTGGGCTGGAGTGTGGATTCCCATATAGCATGTGATCAGTGGGAAACAGATGGTACCAGACCACTCTAGATGCAGTGTGAAGTGTGCTCTATTTTCCTGTGTAATTACACTCTGAGAGATACCCACTGTGTTAAAAGTTAAAAAGGTAAAGGTAAAGACTCCCCTTGACAAGTTTTCTCCAGTCGTGTTCGACTCTAGGGGGCGGTCCTCATCCCCGTTTCCAAGCCATAGAGCCAGCGTTTGTCCAAAGACAATCTTCCGTGGTCACATGGCCAGTGCGACTTAGATACGGAACGCTGTTACCTTCCCACCGAGGTGGTCCCTATTTATCTACTTGCATTTGCATGCTTTCGAACCACTAGGTTGGCGGGAGCTGGGATAAGCGACGGGCGCTCACTCCGTTGCGTGGATTCGATCTTACGGCTGCTTGGTCTTCTGACCCTGCAGCACAGGCTTCTGTGGTTTAGCCCGCAGCGCCACCACGGGTGTTAAAAGTTAGACCACACCAAACATTACTTTCATATGTTACTGGTGTACAGGACTGATGCTATTCTTTTCACATCATGGCTCAAGAGGGCACCGGCTCTTATAACCCACAGCCTCCCTATGCTCGCTTCCCATATCCACCCTGGGTAACCACAATCCATGAAGGGGATCAAAATGGAATACATTTGTTTGTTTGACTGACTGACTGATTGATATATGACCCATTTGGCCTGAAGCCACTCTGGTCGGTTTATGACAAAATAAAACAACGATCACCAGATATAGTAAGAAAATTACTACCTTTTCCATTAAATTCAACTTCAAAATAGTATAAAAGCAAACAGACCTATTCTAATGTTATGACACAAAATACAATAAGACATTCAATACACAATTGACACAATTGCACCTTCCCTCTTCCTTCTAACGGTGAGCTTCCCGCTTTCAATATTATGATGCAAGCCTCCCTCAGCTCAGTTTTATTGGTGACCTCCTGCCTCTGCTGGCCACTCGGGTGTAACCGCTAAAGATTCTTTTCCTGCCATGGCCAGGCAAGCTCCGGCAAGCTCTTCCTACTTCCAGACTATTAGCTGGGGCAGATACCTCAGCTTCATGGGGATCTCGGAGTATTGCTGCTTCGAGGTATAAAATGGTCAGGGGCAAATCTCCCTCCTTCAGCTTTTTCAGTCCTTCTTCAAAAGCACCAGGCCAGTCTTTGAAAGGGTTTTCTGTGTGAAAATAATAGCCCTGAAAGAGAGAAAAATAAGGATGGTGACATTGAGACAGAGAACAGAAGAAGTTTAACAGCCTGATCCTAATCATGTCTGTTCAGAAAAAAAAAGAAGAACTACTGACTTCAAAGGAAGTTACTGTCCAGTGACTGTATAGGAGATTGTGACCTAAATCATCTAAAATTAAATTGTTCATTGTCTCCTATGTGCATGTTTCTGTGGTGTATGTGTGACTGCACTTCAAAGGCAACTACATTTTTATGAAAGGATATAGTGCAGGACCCAGGAATCTGTGGAACCTTGGATGCTGTTGGACTCATACTTTCCATCGTCCCTAAACATGGGCAATGCTATCCCCCAGAGCCATCTGGGGGATTTTGGGAGCTGTACTCCAAAAAAACCCACACATTTGTATTCCTCTACCACTGGTTCCCCATCACATCTGTATTCCTGTACCACTGCTTCTCCATCACAGCGATTTGTTTTCAACAACATTGCTGGATGGAATTTTGACGGACTTTCTCCTCATTAAAAATGTTTGAACTATAAATGCTTACACTATACACTGAATGACAGCATAACATTCAGGTAAGCTGCATTTCCTTAGATGAGGGCCAGATCTATAGATTGTAAAATAGTATGTGTGTGCATGAAAGTGAAACAGACACGGTGAGATTCTTGTAATACTTGCACAACACACATCCAAATGCCCTTGTGCTGAGCTAGTGAGCACTGGTGCAAGCTGGCAAATCGTTTTACCCTGAGATAAGTCTACCCACATGACGCATCATAGTTCCCTGAGACTTCAGCCCGTGCTCTGAGACCTGGTGAACCTAACACAGCAGGAGCATATTACAAAAAGGGAAGCCCTGTGCCTCCTCTTCTTTCTCTTCTTGCCATATCAGCTTATGTATCTTCCTATTTCTGCAAGGCACTGAAATATACCGGGAAAGAGGTAGAACCTTGCACCAGCAAAGTAGCCTTTTGTGGATGAGAAGCAGAAGCACGAGGACAATACTGCTGTCAGTGGCCGTTATGTGGCGGCTGCTACCTGGGCTCCCAGTCTAAGAATGAGCATGTTTTGTGCTTATATTCTACTAAGAGTGGATGCATTTTAGACAGAAACACAAATCCGAACATGTTCTTAACGGATTTGCAAAATGTCCCACTTCTATTAGGTATATGAAAGGGCAACATTCTGATTAAGACTTCAGAGTGGCCCCTAAAAACCCCATGGGCCTGTCACTACCCTATTGGTATTACCTTCTCGTTAATGGAGACAGTCGCTTGGCCTTGAGCTTCCTGGCCCTCTGAAATCCAATTCCTTCGAGCCATTTCCTCCCATTCTGCTTGCATTTTATCCCAAAACTCTGTATCTGACTAGGGAGAAGATAAAGCAAAAAGGGCAGTTAAGAAGAATTAAAAATGGAAGAGAAACAAGCTTCTTTCATCATCTTCAGGGCATCTTCCTGCTCCCCTTTTTTGTTTCAAAACTGGAACACCTGAGCATCAAAATGCTTATATCGCTGTGCATATTTATTCTGTGTTACAAGTTACCATTCAAGAATTGACTCAATGGGTCTATTGTCTAGCTGAGACCAGCAATAGAATGGTATTATATGCTGTCAAGACACACTGGACTTATAGCTACTCTAATAGGGTTTTCAAGGTAAGTAAGATATTTAAAGGGAGGTTTTTACCAGTTCCATCACTCCAATGGGTTTCCATGGCTTTTTGAGCCCTCTACACCAGCCGTTCTCAACAGAGACCGTATACCAGTTCCATCACCCCAATGGGTTTCCATGGTTTCTTGAGCCCTCTACACCAGCCGTTCTCAACAGAGACCGTATGGCCCCCTGGGAGGCCCTGTCACATTTGAAGGGGGCCACAATTCCTCGTACACCACCTTATAAGGTTTGTTCTGTGGTTTATAAAATTATAATTTGGCATATATTTCTTTCATAATGTGTCTATGGCCATGGCCCCCCCAAAATTGAGAATGACTGTTCTACATCGCACTGGGTACCCAGCAACATGATACTGGATTATATACATTTTACTACATCCAAGGAAAAAGACAAACTCTCCCAATTTCTGAAATACATGATTAGGATGATGATATGATGATAATAACGTTTCACTGTACATAAACAGCTATGGAAAGCCTTCGTGCCCAAGTCTGTCTTTGTGGCTCCAGGCCCTCTTGTTGACCCCCTTCTTTTTCCATGCAAAGAGGGAATCCCCTAGAAGCCATCAGGAATGGTGATTAATGTTTTACATAGGTTGCAAGGCCCATATTCTCAATTTAAAATACTGTAGCAGTTTTTCAAAGCAGAAGTGTATTTCCAACCACTTTAGGTTCTGTCATGCTTTTAAAAAAAAGAAATTGGGGGAAGACTGTGGCCCTAGGGCAAAAAATGGCAATAAGATCTATCAAAGCTGCTCCCAGTGATTACACAATGCATTATGGTAACATAAGCCAAGACAGGCCCCTCCCTGGAGAAGTTTGCAAACCAGTTAACATTATTCAGCTTGAAGTCACTATCTATTTACAGCTGTCCTCGGAATGTCTCAAAGTTCCTATGTAAGTAAACCTTGTATTTGTTTCATGTACTTCCACCTTAATAAAGTCAAAGTAATATAGTTTTATGAGAGCACTTTTGGGAACAATGTGAGGTTATTGTGTCTCTCAGCTGCTGCGCCTTCCTTCTCTCAGAAATAAAATGGAAAAACTGAATCAATGAATCTTCAGCCCCAGGAATAATTAATCTGCATGGTGGATACTTAAAATGAGATGCTTGCTAATTAAAGGCAGGCATGGACAATCTTCAGCATTTGCAACAGTAATGCCGAACTGCTGGTTCAGCTACAGCCTAAGTCTCTGTTAAGGTCTCCTGGGCTACATTTGGGAACTGAGGGTTGAGAAAGGTCCTCTGCCTTGCTGACAGCTAAGAAAAGACTCTATTTTGGGATATTTAAGCTTTATTAATCATATGTTGTAGCCTGTCTACTTACTTATTTACCGTATTTTTCTGTTTATAAGATCCCCCCGTTTATAAGAAACAACCCACCCCCCACTTTTCTAACCCCAAAATTAAGAAAAAGTAGCTTCGAGTATTCAGCCTCTGGGCTCAGAACGCTCGGACATTAGCAGTCCCTGTTGAATCTGAGCCTACAGGCTCCACCTTCAACGAGGTGTGTTCCAATTGATTTGTACAGCATCAGCTGACGTCAGTTTCATATGCCTTGTGATTGGAGGAAGCTAAGCCTCGTGACTGAAGGAAGCTAAGTCTCGAGACTGAAAGAAGCCTGTTTACAGAGGCAAGGTATGGGACGTTTTGTTCTCTCCATGTTCTCAGCTTACTCCATGTGAAAGACACCCCTCAATTTTTAGTGTACTGATTTTAGGAAAAAGTAGTGTCTTATACACGTAAATGCAGTAATATTGTGCTAATATTGTACAGCAGGACTGTGGTATCTGTGAGGGGATGGGTTCCAAGCTCCCCCCTGGATGCCGAAAAAAGTGGCAGTATTGAACACTATACATTGCATTGTCTCTGGCTCCATTTCCTGGTCAGGTCTGGTAAATACCCTGAAGATACATATATTTCTGGATTTTCTATTTAGTATTTTCAGGCAGGGGTAAGTGAATCAGTGCATACTGATCCTGCAGACAGGAGGCGGTCCTATTGTAATTTATTGTGTTGTTAACATGGCTCCCTTTCCTGGTCAGGTATGATAAATGCCCTGAAGATACATATAAGTATTTCTGGATTTTCTATTTAGTTATTTCAGGCAGGGGTAAGTGAATCGGTGGATACTGATCCTGCAGAAGGGAGGCGGTCCTATTGTAATTTATTGTGTTGTTAACTGTATTGTTTTTTCAAATGTATATTGTAAGCCATCTTAGGTCTTAGAAGGGAGAGAGGCAGAATGTAAAATGAATGAATAGTGACTGTGCTGGCTGGAGGATTCTGGGAGCTGTAGTCCAAACAGTAATTCTTCCAGACACTAGTCTTGCTTTCCACTTAGCTTGGATTGCAGCAGAAAACACAGTAGCTGAGAACCTCAAGGGAACGTATACTTGAAATGTTCAGTGCAAAGAATCTATTACTCATGTACAAAATTATTTAGAAGAATTACATCTCCCATAATTTGCCAGGCAGCATGGCTACTGAAGATGGGGGCTTCTGAAATCTACAGTAAAAAGGCAACTTTTTTCAAAGCTATGCCCTCAAGGTACCTTAAAAACCTTGATTAGCTATTAGGGCAAAGTGATCCAAGGACAGTTAAAAATGTTGCTAATCTTTATGTTTTTCTGATCTTGTTGTTAAGTTGTGTCCAACTCTTCGTAACCCCATGGACCAGAGCATGCCAGGCCCCCCTGTCCTCCATTGCCTTCTGGAGTTGGGTCAAATTCATGTTGGTCGCTTCGATGACACTGTCCAACCATCTCATCCTCTGTCATCCCCTTCTCCTCTTGCGTTCACACTTTCCCAACATCAGGGTCTTTTCCAGGGAGTCTTCTCTTCTCATGAGGTGGCCAAGGTATTGGAGCCGCAGCTTCAGGACCTGTCCTTCCAGTGAGCATTCAGGGTTGATTTCCTTCAAAATGGATAGGTTTGTTCTTGCAGTCCAGGGGACTCTCAAGAGCCTCCTCCAGCACCACAATTCAAAAGCATCAGTTCTTTGGCGATCAGCCTTGTTTATGGTCCAGCTCTCACTTACATACATCACTACTGGAAAAACCATAGCTTTGAATATGCTGACCTTTGTTGGCAAGGTGATGTCTTCGCTTTTGAAGATGCTGTGTAGGTTTGTCATCGCTTTCTTCCCCAGAAGCAGGCGTCTTTTAATTTCGTGGCTGCTGTCACCATCTGCAGTGATCATGGAGCCCAAGAAGGTAAAATCTGTCACTGCTTCCATATCTTTCCCTTCTATTTGTCAGGAGGTGATGGGACCAGTGGCCATGATCTTAGTTTTTTTTAATGTTGAGCTTCATACCATTTTTGGTGCTCTCCTCTTTCACCCTCATTAAGAGGTTCTTTAATTCGTCCTCACTTTCTGCCATCAGAGTGGCATCATTTGCATATCGGAGGTTGTTGATATTTCTTCTGCCAATCTTAATTCTGGTTTAAGAGTCATCCAGTCAAGCCTTTCGCGTGATGTATTCTGCATATAAGTTAAATAAGCAGGGGGACAATATACAGCCTTGTATAATCTATTTATAGCTTTCATTGCAAATCAGAAGCCCACTTCATGGATGTGTTACCTGCTAAACTAATTCTCTTCTCTCTGGTGCATGAGCTACTTTGAGTACGGTTACCTTCGCAAAAGGCCTTGGAGAATGAAAGCATAAAACAAATGCCCAATTTTGAACCAATCAGTTGTTCCATATCCAGTTGTAACTGTTGCTTCCTGTCCTAAACATAATTTTCTCAGGAGACAGATAAGGTGGTCAGGCACTCCCATTTCTTTAAGGACTTGCCATAGTTTCCTGTGGTCCACACAGTCAAAGGCTTTTGTGTAGTCAATGAAGCAGAAGTAGATGTTTTTCTGGAACTCTCTGGCTTTCTCCATAATCCAGCCCATGTTGACTATTTGGTCTCGAGTTCTTCTGCCCCTTCGAAATCCAGCTTGTATTTCTGGGAGTTCTCAGTCCACATACTGCTGAAGCTTACCTTGTAGGATTTGGGGCATAACCTGATGTACATTTGCCAAAATGATGTTGACTAAACAGCCATGGATGTTGGCAATAAAGCCAATAATGATTGGACAAAAGAAGAAAACTGGGAGAAGATGAATTCTAGGGCTATATGGATTTGGAGATGTGTTTCAGAAAATTTGAATTTGTCATTTTACGTATAAGGTAATATCGTAATAAGGTAGGGATCATTTGGTAGAAGAATAGAACAAAAGACTCACAAATGAAACAACCACCACTCTGCCAAACAGCATGTACATACTGTATACGTTGTGTTTGACTATGAAAATATGCAAGTGTAATATATACTTTAAGTTCTGGTTCTGCAAAGCACCGCCAGAGCCTTCTGGCTTTGTAGCCTCAGCTTGTTTAGATCCTCATATCTCTGCCCATGCACATTCACTGGGCACTTTGATTTAATTTCAGGGATATTTCTTTCCAAACTGAAGTCCTGGAAGTGGATTCTGTTTCTGTTCTTTGTTCCAGGATGAAACCTGCCCAACTACTCTCAGCATATGGATGACTGATTTGAACTCCATATAATTGATATTTCTTCTAAAACTCAGTGGAAACTACTTTAATCAAAAGCCCTTTATCTCACAGGCAGCATCTGTTCTCAGTACTGCTGAGATTTTGATGTAGCATTATCCACATTTTGCTGACAGCAAAGCAAACTGTTATAATGAATTTCAAAAGGAGGAGTGCTCCCTCATGAAAGCTTACAGCGCCATACTTAAATGTACAGATTTGTCAAGAGATAGGAGAACCCCAGAGGCCATTCAGACTCATGGAGTTATACTGTACATGGTTGACCTTCATGCTTCAAGGTGGGGTGTTTAAATCTTGGAGTCACATTTTCTTGTGGAATCCATACAGAACCAGACTTTTAAGGCAGACATTCTTCAAACCTGTAACTTGAAGAGTTGGAAACAATTCCACCAAGTTTTAGACACCTGCTGTGCACATTTTTGTGACATCCTCTAACCAATCAAGAACCAGCTAGGACCAGAAGAACAAAACCAAAGAGTCCTTACGAAACTACTGCATTTTCCATTGCCATTTTTTTGTAGTGCAATTATACAGGGGGTCTTGTTGTTGTCGAACCATGATTTTGAGAAACAGAAGTGTTATTATTTAAACAGGTTGCATTCAGTACTTGTGTTAGCATGATAACAATTTTAATTAAAAATATTATTGTTGTCTTTATATTTGGACAAAGGCAGGAAATCCAATCCAATCCATGGTAACTTTGGATATGGTTTACGACATAACAAAGCAATTGGGAAATTTCAGCTCTAGGATTAAAGAGAAACAGTTTTGATATGATCAAGCAACAAATAAGCAAAGAATTCTTGGTTTGGTGGTAATATTTGAAACACAACAGGTGCGGGGGGACAGACGGACATAGAGTCCTAGAAGTGTGAGCGCAGGACCTCCAACTCCACTCCATCATGGAGGTAAAAGTAGACCCACTATTGTAAAAATATAGTCAAAACCAGTTTGGGAAAGTTAGTTTTTTTGAATTGTAAGCTTCAGGAATCCACAGTTAGCATTGATTTCTGGGAATAAATAAAAATAAATAAAAATAAACTGTAGTGCAAGAAAGTAAGTTTCCAGGGCTCTCCTCAGTCACAACAAATTCCGTCATCTATCGATCAGGGGAGCCATTGGTCTAACTTAGTATTGCTTCTTCTAATGGCAGCAGATTGCCAAGGCCATCTCCTCTTTGCACGAGTGGAAAAGGTCTCTCAAAATTCTCTACCTTTTCTTCCAGGCACTTAAATGGGAAGGGGAGATTTAGCTGAATACTCCAGGGGAGAAATTTCTATACAGTAGTTCCTTCTCAAGCCAACCGAAATTATGATAACATCCCAAACACTGTAAAGAACACTCACCTTTTTCTATTACAGAAAATCTGCTCACAGCCATTATATAAGAGGGATCATAAGACCATGCAGAACTAGGTTCTTCACAAGATTTCAGCTTCTGAGAAACCTGAATATTTAAAGCCAAGCACTGCAGAAAGATCCTTAAAAAGTGATCCTTGTTGCTTGATATTAAACATATCTTTTAGTCTTTTCATATTCTCAACAACCCTGTTCTATTTGCGTCTCCACCAACCTTTACTCATGATTTTATAGTCAATTTCTATTCTTCAGGTAGATTATTTAAAATTTCTGGAAAAATTGCCATGCACTAAATCCCACAAGTTTCATTTCCTTTTTTTTTTCCTGCCACAGTCCAAAGCTGATCCGTCTTTTCATTAAGTCCCTTGCCAATAGCTGCTTCTTTCTTTCTCTACCCTTGCAACAAAATTTGATACAGGGTTGTTATAATTATCATTCTAAGTACAGTATTTTAGAGCAAGTATTTTATTTATTTATTTATTTATTTATTGCATTTATACCCTGACCATCTAGTCAATTGACTACTCAGTATGTTATTAAAAAGAAACTATTTCTGGTGGAATGCTTCCTAATTGAAGTGCATAGCTGCTAGCACTCATGTCTCCTGGGATCCTTTGTACGAGAGGCAGAGTAAAAATATTTTAAATAAATAAAATAAATAATATTTTGGGTCTATGTTTTATTCAAAGGAAAGAGCTCCTTTCCCATCAGTAGTACAAAATCTGTTGTACAAACCGAACTGTGTGTTCATTGATTTTTTTTTAAAAAAAGCTAAATCCACTTGTTAGTCCCAAGTAAATAGGATCAGTTGAATCAACAGGACTTACCTAAGAGCTGACTTAATGAGTTCCATTCATTAGCGGATCTATTCTATTTGGGACATATAGCCTTTGCAGACATAATACATTTCAAGCATTCAAACCACTTCTTATGAGTTTTCTCAGTACCCTCTTACTATTTTGTTTAGGATTCATATAGTGCCATTGTTGGGAAAGGCTAGCCCCAATTCATTGGAGGTTGTAAAACTGAATGCAGAGTGAATCTTAGTAATAAAAGAACAAAAATGTATTTCTTTCAAAAAGCAGGAGAAGCACTAACACACACACAATGGGAAAGTCAACCAGCCAAGGAAGCAGAAAGAGAGGACTCGCTCAAGGTAGCCCAAGCCATTTCAAGGGCGGATGAATGCCTTATTCATCCCAACAGACCAGCACAAGCAGTGTACGGTCTCTACTTAAGAACGTCCCTACTTAAAAACAATTCCACTTAAGAACAGCTCCATTTGCTAAATTTTGCTTCTACTTGAGAACAAAAA